ACTGTGTGCAGTATGTGCAACAGTGAAGATTATCTCAGCACTAGTAAAGTGCAGTCCCTGTCATGGGATTACTATCATGTGACTAAAGATTTGGTACTGGTAAGGTCCTGAAAACAGGGCGAGCGATTTCTTCTCTTTTCTTCTCATGAGAACTACTGCTGCGTTTCATTGTTTTTTGTGCTTTTTTGCATGATGCTACCACACCAACTAGTCCACACGTCGTTACTACTACTCATCGGGTACGAGCATCATGCAGTGGAGGCATATTATGTTATTAATACGTGCAGCTGGTTCATTGGCCTGGCTTCTGCGTGGACAAGGGGCACCGACTGTCTGACACTGCCCGGGGTTCTTTTATAGAGTACGCAGCATGCAGATGTTTGTATGTTCCACCAATAGAGGGTAACGCCCTGATAAAAATATGTAATCTAAGAAAGTGTATTGGCTTAGCAGAAAGTTTAGCTGGCTATGTTCAGATTAAACTAACCTTCAGGCTCTTTTTTTTTTTTTTGCAGCTCCGTGTAATGCTGTGCCATGGCATCTGTATTACACAACCACAACAGTCAAGGGTGGACCTGCAAAACAAGCTCCCTGAACCCATACTTTGGAAAGGAGCACATTGTCAGGTATGCAAACTTAACTCGGCAGTCATGATTCTCTAAAACTGATGAGTGCTATTTGGGAAAAAAAGAGCATGCTGACACCCAAATGTTTCAGAAAGTGTAACGTTTCTTGAACTATTCCTAGTGCCACAAAGCTCTACCCATCTTGTAGGCTCTGTAGTATGCAAAAATTCTTCTCTTTATTAAAGTGGTACGCTACAGGCTCAGTAACTTTGTTGATTGTGTGGTTTAATCCGCCGATGCAATGCAGGCATGAGGCGCGCCGTAGTGGAGGGCTCCGTATTAATTTTGACCACCTGGGGATTTTATCGTGCGCCGGAATATTGAAAACACAGGCGTTATTGCTTTTCACCTCCATCAGAAAAGCGGCCGCCGTGGCCGAGAATCAAACCTGCATTCTCTCCCTCAGCAGCACAACGCCTTAGGCACTGAGCAACCGCGGCGGGTCTGAGTAACTTTGTGTTTAGCTGGAAAATAACGCCATTTGTAGCTTTCTCAGCTTTTATTCAATGACCAACAACTCTTGATTGCTGAGAAATGAATAATTAAAGCTGGCATTTCTCTCCTCCATTCCCCTCACATTATTTCGTGAAGTTTCAGACCACGTAACAAAGCGCCCAGACCGAGTCGAGCCCGACTTTACTCGATCGTCCCCATCTTCCTGAAAGTTTGTTCTCGCCGGCTATTACTTCCGTCACTCCCAATCACAAAGTCAACAGTGTGCCGTGTGTTTCCGACAAAGTTCCACTGATTCCCATCCAAATACGTGCCAACTAGCGCAGCTCCCAACCATTTTGCTGTTACAATTTGAGGTCACTTTAAAATGAAGTTTTTTACATATCTGATTGCAGTAGACAGTCTTCTTAAATTTAGTTTTAGTTCTATATCTTCAGAACTTGCACAATGGACAAAAAGTGGGAGTGTGCAAATTTGTGTAGGGAATGAAAAGGTGTTTATGCACAGGAATGTACTCATGCCAACTGTTCTAGCCAAGTACAATTACAAAAATTTCTTCAGCTGTTTCTGCAGGCCTGAAAGTGGGATTATTTTTATTATGCAACAGTTAACTAAAGGGTGGAATGTGTAAATGTATATTCTGGAAGGAAAAAGTCCTGCACAGCATGTAAACGTAAACGTTTATTCTTCATGCAGGTACACTGAAAGTAAAGGCGCTAGAAAACATCGAGATGCTGGCCTGCGGCTTTTCACATCAGGCCACCTGCAAAAGTTGGTGTTTTCAACTGAAGACACCGCAGAGACCGTGGTGAAGGCACAAGTTCTGGCATCCATGGCAACACGGACAGTGTACAGTGTTGGGGTGAAGTTGCTTAAGTGTGATGGGGAGCTTGTCAGTGGCAGCTGCTCATGTGTTGCTGGGAAAGGTGGTGTCTGCAAACATGTTTGCTGCGTTTTGTACGGGCTGATGCACATTGCGCAACATGATCTCACTGAAGTACCAAATGCCATTGCATGCACTGAAGGTGAACGGCAGTGGTACAACCCGCGGGATCCAAAAAAAGTGACTGAGCAATTTCAACAGATTGTATTCTCCAAGGACACCACTGAAAAAATCAGTGATGCACCAAGGCTTCACAAAAAACGAGCAGCCTACTCATGCTTGAGAACACAAGACTCGAATCTGTCAACACTGAGCCTCATAAACTTGCATGGAAACTTCAAAGAATGTGGGCTCGATTGCTTCGCAGACGTACTTGAAGCAAATGACTTTCTTCCCGAAAAACAAAGAAAAGTTGAGAGCCCCGCTACCGAAGATGTGGCTGGGCTACCTTTAAGGTGGCTGGAGCGAGCCAAACAGGGGAATGCTTTGCTGTCGTACACAGACGAAGAAGTTACAGCCGTAGAGGCAGCCACACGACTGCAAAGTGCTTGCCTCCTTTGGCATATGTATAGGGAGGGTCTGATCACTGCATCTGTAGCGCATAGAGTTTACACATGGGTCAGGACTTGCCAAACCAAAATGGGGCCGCATGATCCCCGACGTCTCATCGCAGCAGTGGTTGGGAAAAAGAAAGGCAGGGCAACATTTGCCATGAAGAGAGGCCTGCTGTGTGAGCCTGAAGCCAGGAAAGCCTTTCAGGACAAAAATGACAGCCACGTGGAGCTTGAGGTGACTGAAACTGGCCTCTTCCTCTCTCGTCATCACGCTTTTCTAGGTGCAAGCCCAGATGGGCTCGTGAAGTGTAAATGTTGCGCACCACGGCTGCTTGAGATCAAAGTGCCCCTAAAAATTCAAGATTTTGCCAAAAGGCAGTTGCGTGCTGGGGAACTAAAAAAAAGTAGTGGCTATTATACTCAGGTGCAAGTGCAGATGGGTGTGACTGGTCTGAACACCTGCGTGCTGTTTGTTTATAGCAAGGAAGAGTGCCGACAAATCTCCGTGCCATTTGACCAGAGTTTCTTCACGGAATTCATAGAACGTTGCAAATTTTTTACTTCCCGCTACTTGCTTCCCTACATTTCCAGTAACTGGTAAAGTAAAGCTAGAAAATGTTTTCAAGCTTGTGCGTGTGTTCTGTCATACCATAAATACTTCAAGCCAGTAGAAGTAGCCCACCAGAGTTTTGCTTCTGTGCCTGTAAATTGCCTTTTCTACAACAAAGATGTTTATGTATGAGGTTTGTGCATTTTTGTTCTGCGTTAACAAGAACAGTCTACCCTCTTTCTTTGTACATCATTCACGTGCATAACTTGACCACGCTGGGGAAAAATAGTACAAATGAGCGTGAGGCCCTCCAGTGTGAAGCGTCTGTGTGCTTCATGCTAATTTCGCGGAGGCATAGGCTTGCTTATTTATGCCATGAAGCACACGAAACTGCACCACTGGCGTTATTGTTGCTACTAATATTCACACCATTATGGCTTGCGTGCTACTGTAAGGGCCGGCCTTGCTCCAAAACAGCAACTTATGTGGAATTTAAAAAAATTCTCGGGGCACCTAAGCTTGCTTACGTACTGTGGAGGTAAAAAGCCTGGTGATACTTATTAACTGCTTCTTTACTGATAGGGTATTTGTGTTATTTGTGTCTGTCTTCATTGCCACTTTGTTCAATGTAATGTTACATTGACGGGCTCTTTTACTGCTGCATTGTCTGTACTTCTCTTTTCGCCTTCATTTTGAATTATTTCAAGGTGAATTAAACAAGCAGACCGGTAACACATGCCACAGCTTTCCATGAATCAGTGTTTTGTGGGACAGCGAGGCACCTGCTCACGTGCCACTTGGCATGAGCTATTCGAACTTTTATCCCACCACTGCTAATGTGTAGGCCTGTGCTATGATGTGTTGTGACCCGCTTCTTTTATGGCACTACTTTTTACCCACCACTGCTAGTGTGTAGGCCTGTACTATCATGTGCCTTCTGGCCTGTTTTTTTTTTGTTTTCCTGAAGGCCCTACACAGTTTACGGGAAGCACGAAAACAATGTCAAATAAACCACTGTACTGGAGCCCTATGTGGAAAATATTTTTAGACAACTGTTTCTTGCAAAACAGGCGGTTGCAGGCTTCTTGAAATTTACTCGAGCACTGTGTAACGCCGTTTCTTCACAGCTCCATTATCCTCCTGCAGCTGGTTTCTATGCAGGAAATGATACACTCAACATACCTTCAGTTTATCAATGAATGCTGTCACGCATTAAAAGGCTACGTCAGCCTGTTAATTAACCTTTCATGTTTATGTTAAACCACAGCAGACTGGATGGCTGGACACAAGGGGACAATATGGTGATAGCCCATACAAGTATGCTTCTCAATGGGCAGCTATGGCCACAATCACGAGCTTTTACCCTATCGAAATAAATGTATGTACCTATTCATTGACACCGCCAGGCATGGGTTCACTTCGATTTTAATGGAAAGCATCAAAACGTGCCGCTGTTTGAAATGGTGACAGAGATGAAGAGAGTATGGCTATTGCATAATGCACGTTCATGACAGTACAGGTAGCAATGTGTTATGACAACAAAAAAGAAAAGGGGGGTCAATGCAGACAACACATCTTTTCGTGCAAGTAAACGTAGTTCTCAAGAAATTTAGAGAATAAGGGAATGACCAAGTAAACAAAGCAAATAAACTGAATACAAAACCTAGGCAGGGACATTTCTTATGATGCTTGAAAGTGCACGGGAAGGATACGGCTCTTCGTACGTGCCCTCCTGAAGGGATTGGGTTGTTCCTTGTTTTGGGCTAAGGTGAATAAAAAAGCTTGGAGAGACGGTGAGCAGTTCCTAGAACAGGCACAATGGCCTATATCCTTCCCATTTCTGGCTGTGTTGCATGGCCAAAAAAGTAGTCAAATGTAGTGCAAGCGAACTGGCGCAGCCTATCAGCAGACATGCAGACTTCACTCACATCTGCTCACAGCAATGGCTCACCCACAAAGTTTGTCAAGCGTGCGCAAACATGCCACACCTTGTTCAGTTGTCCAGACATGCTGTTTGGAAACACCTGTGAGAGTATTCTGTAGGTCTTTATCCTCCGAATGACCCTTTCCACATGTATGCGCACACTGGCAATAAGCCTTGTCTCAGTTTCATCTGCTTCAGACAGTTGAGGCCGTCCTTCCATGAATGGCGCAATGTTCAAGTGCAGTGAAAGTTCCTTGCACTCTTCTTCGATGGTGAACCCCCTATCAGCCATCAAACTTCGCCCTGGTGAGAACTTTTCCAACACACCGGAAGCCTTTGTTAGGGCCTTGTCAGACAGCCTCCCAGAAGAAAGATCGGACACGAACATAACAAAGCCGTTCGGGCTGCACACAACTAACCCTTTTGCAGTATTGTGCTTTTTGTACGAGGAATAGGTCTCACTCTGTACACGGAATGACGAGGGGGTTTCGATGAAAATTTCGGTGCAGTCGAGGATGCCGTCAACAGTGGTGTAGCCCTTGTCAGTGAAAGCTTGTGGCCTGTACTTGTCGCACAGGTGGGGAGGCATCCAAGTTGGGACCTGAAAAAAAGAAGGAAAAGTGGGTTTTCATATTTTTTACATTAATATCATCAGTGGCTTAGGAACGGGCGGGGGGAGTGGTCTTAGAGTGGTGGATCTATGCGAAGGATCTAAGACTGCATTCTCAATGCACATGAATCTCCCCATTGCTCTTAATGTACGATTTAAAAAGTCACCTTCTCCACCTTTGATTTTTGCCACAAGTACTGGCACTGCTCTGCAGTAGAGACCGCAAGATGAGTCATCACAGCTTGTAACACTGTCAAATGAATCTACAAATGCTCTAAAAATTAGCAAAAAACACACGGGCACACGAGAAGCATGCTGGGATAAGCATTCTCTCAACAAAACTTTTTTTGGAAGCATTGTTACATATAAATAAAATCATTTACTGCATTGGGCATGTGCTGTAAGACCCAGAAGGTTCATCGATTGATTTATTGAGTTATAATGCACAGGCACTACATAAGTTATAAGGTGCACTGTAGTGGAGGGCTTCAGTTTAATTTGATCAGATGGGAACCTTTACCGAGCACCTTAATCTCGAACATGCGAGCATTTTCGCTTTTTGCCTGCGTAAGAAAAGCGGAAGCCACGGCCGAGAATCGAACCCGCATCCTTGGGCAGCACAACGCCGCGGGCACTGAGCCATGTAGCAACCCGCAGAATAAAAAAGTGAAATGAGTACATTTAAGGTGAGGTGACATGTGACGTTGCTTCCAATAATTTTTAGCTGAGAGTGAGTGCTTGTCCCATTGTGCTTCGCCTGTGTTGTATTTTTGCGCTCTGGGTTTTACAAGCGTGCACCAACTGCCTAACGAGTAGTTTTACTGAAATTTACTTTAATTCAATCGATCCATCTTAGAATGCAAACACAAGGTGTTCAAGCTGAGCAATCTTGCAGTAAGCTTAAAAAAGCATGCTTCGGGGAATTAAATTACCTGTACGTTCTTAGCAGGTATCTTGACAGACAGAAAGGCAGTAGTGGGGGCTAATATATCTGGCCATGAGGGGAAGGCTGACAAACACCCCTTGAAATAGAACCCTGGCTACGCGACTGATCAGTGTACAGTTGGCCTTTTATACCTAAAATTCCATCCAGTCCCCTTTCTCCCTTCCCATAAATGTTGCAATTTGTCGCGGCCATCACAGAGACCACAAACAAAAGGCAATAAAAAAAGATAACTGGTGCTGACATACCTGGCGAAGCCTGTTGTCCAAAAAATCCAGCCATGTTACCCAGATCCTCGAAACGGTTGACGTAGAAACGCCAAACCTGTACGAAAAACAAATTTGCAAAAAATGCGCATCAGTAATTTTCTGCAGCACAAACAAAAGAACCTACGGTTGCAATGAAGATGTCATTGCAGAAGATGCTTAAACGGTACTGAATTCCTTTTGTGTAAGCACCTTGTTACTTCCAGTCATTTTCATTATAAACGATAAGTGAAAAAGTGCTGCATACCATTGCTGATATTTTGAGGAACGTACGAATACACAGCATGCTGCATTCCCCCTATGCACAAAGTAACTAACAAAACCAGCTACGCTCGGCAGGAACACTGAAATTTGGCTTAAACTTGAATTTCTCAGTGAATGAAAGTTCGTTTGCTCCCGGACAAGCACTAAGGGTATTACAAAATACCAAATCTTTTGAATAAAGCAAACTCGTATTTTGTCTTCATGGCCCCTTTCGGGCTGATTGGGTTATGCTTGTTTCCTTCCCTCACAGCATATTCATAAATAACATTATACACAGTATGCCCGCGTAAATGTATTGGCATGGTAACAGAGTTTCATTAGTCACTCCACTTGGACCTTATGCAAAGGCAAAAATGAGTACTGATGCAAAAAAAAACACTTCAACGTTGGCAGCGTACCTGTACGCAAGGTCAAGGCCGTCAAGGCCCAGCCGTAGCCTCATCAGGACGAGCACAAGCTGTGTCTTCAAAGGCAGGATGAAGTTCCGGTCCTCGTTCTCCGTTTCCTTCATCTGCCAGAACCGCAGCTTTTTCTCATCTGGTTCAAGTAGGGACCAAAAACTGTCGAAGGACTTTCTGGATGTAAAGCCAGTGTAGTACCGCAGCTTCTTTTCATCTTCTACAAGGGCTTCATACGTGATGTCAATCTTTTGTGTAGCTTCAGCCTTGCACCTCTTGACTTTCTTCTGCATACAGGATAGCTCAAGCCGCAAGCACCTATTCTTCTGCTGAAGGCGGTCACATAGCTTTTTTGCTTCAGCGTGGTCCTGTTGAGAGCGTTTTAGCTGGCTGTTGAGCTCTTCAACATGCGCGTAAGCAGCTTCAGCCTTTTCTGCTAGCTCAGTTATTATATTATTTTGGCAAGCAACTTTCTTGGCAAGCTGGTCATAGCTTGACTCTTGGCTGCTGTAGGCATGGTCCATGAGTAGAGTGCTTTGCTGTGCGGTGTCTTCACTGTCGCTGCTGCTACTAGTGATGGCAGAGCCTGAGACTTCTGGGTCGTGCTGGGGTGCCACAGTTGGACTGTTGGGAAGTTCCGGCTGTCAGGGGAAAATGAAAAAAGAAAGCCATGTGTTTCAGTGATTTTTACAACACACTGTGCAGCTGCAGGTGAGATTTCCAATACCGCATTTTATACCTTCACACGAGTTTGAGTTTACTCGGCATCATTGCTTTTTTTACGCAGTAGCGCAACCCTTAAGTAGCCATTGCCTGCATTAAGCCATAACAAAATATTCAGTGGTGCATATGCAACAACGTAATGCTATTTCTCTGCATTGCTTGCGCTCAAATTACCTGTGTCCTTATGAGTGGTCGCCTCCTTTCCACCTTTTGCGGTCTCAGCGGGAAGATTGTGGGCACTCTGTTCATGTAAGTCTTTTTTCCTCCTTCGAAGTGGGCACCGCATACTCGGTGTCCCGTGGTAGGCGTAAACTTGGAGAACCTGAGCACAAAAAGTTCCAGCATTATTTCATATGACACTGAACATCACCTACTGCGTTTTCAGGTTCCTTTTAAATGTCCAGTCTGCATGCTACCACTGCAAGACAACAGTATCACTTTCTCTTGATTAACGTACAAAAAGTTCCATATCAGTCAAGGGCAAATGACAAATGTAATTTTAATTTTCAGCCTCACTCGACAACGCCACACACAGGTAAATTATACAGCTGTTTGTGCCACTCATCTGCATAGGTGCAGCGAAATCGGCCGCGTGCATGCACCAGATAACTATTTTACGGAAAGGACGAGATTACAGAGGCACCGTTTGCATTGAGGGTGATCCGCGAAAGCTAATCGCCGTTTGGCACAACGAGTTCTGGGTAAGTTGTTGCAAGCGTGCCGTGAAGTACGTTACGTCGTTTCTAAAAAGTAAGGTCTCGATGTACGGTAGAGCTATTAGGAGAGCCTCGTCAATGAGCTTGCCTTCCCTTTATGCCTGCATGCTTGCCACTTGCGTTGTAAAAAAAAAAAAAAAACGCAAGCCGCGTACGCGGTGCTGCACTTGCGCAACATGGGAAACTAAAAGACCTCAGCACTACAACTCGTAATAATAATAATATTAGTACGCAGCGGTAACAAAAAACGCTAGAATAAGGAAGATGCGCTAAAAAATGACCGGCATGCACAACCGCGAACCGCGGCTGAGCTATCCGGTAAGAGTATACGCAGGCAGAGTGAGCAAAGATCATATTCTTTGGTATGCTAAGCTTCATGATTAAACATTCACATAAAAAAAACCACCGCAATACGCTTATTTAGTTTCAAAGCGGCACTATACATTTAATAAGATGTCTTACCTGCCGCCCCGTCCAGCCCTGTTGCAACGCTGAATCCACGTCTCCCGAAGCTGTTGCTCTTTAGGAAAAACGTAGAAACCCAAGCCTTTATCCCTTGTGCTGTTGTTGTAGCATCCAGGAACACAGCACGTAAATCCTCCCATCGTAAGACGGCTCCACACGACCGAAAAATCTATCGAAAAGGGAACACTCAGGCACTTCGGCTGGCTGGTGCGCCCGGACGACTACAAGTACCGGCATGCACCGCGGCTGCCGCGGCAGCGGTGGCGTCGCGAAACTGGCCTGTGGGATCGATCTATTCTTGGATGAGCGTGGTATCCGACTGACACATTCTTCGGTGTATTACCCTCAAGCCAACGGACTTGTCGAAAGGTTTAATCGTGTTTTTAAGGACTTTGTACAGGTTGCTGCGTTAGAACATGGCCCTCTTCGACAAGCGGCACTGGAGTACTTGGGTGTTTACCGGTGCACAGCTCACGCAACCACGGGAGTAGCACCAGCCTTGCTCCTACATGGACGACTGCCCCGAACATGACTGAACATCATTGGGCACCCATCCCCATCATTCTTCACAGACCCTGCCAAAGAACTTGGCCAGCTTCGGAAGAGAGTCGCACAGAAGCAAAAATACAGCAAGATGTACACAGACTTCCGCCGTGCAGCCAAGAAACCAAACATAGCAGTTGGAGACATGGTCCGTGTGAAGAAGCCGGCAGTCTCTTTTAAAGGAGACCTCTCGTTCAGTCGTTCTCGGAAGGTGGTGGAAGAACGAGGGCCAGCCTCTTTCTGCCTAGACGATGGGCGAACATGGAACTCCTCCAAGTTGAGCAAGGTTCCTGCACAGGCCGCCCAGCCTCACCCAGTCATCCAAACGCAAACGCCAGATGTTCACGCTCACCCAGCACAGCCTTCAAGCCCGTCACCTGTGCCTTGTGACAGTGGGCAATCAGCAGTGCCACTCGGTACCCCCCTCAGTGCAGTGCCTAGTGTTCTGTGCAGCCCTTGTGTAGCATCGCAAGAGACACAACAGGCTGTCTCTTCTCCACCCTCTCCACAACCGCCTTCTCGTCGGGAGCTACCCGCGAGGACAAGACGACCGCCTCGAAGATTTATGGATTACGTTTAGAGTGGCTCCAGTGACATGCTTGCTGCAATTGAGTGTATATTTTGGTGTAAAGTTTTTGGCATTTTGAAAGTAGTTGTGAAAATATTCCATGCTTATTGTATATAGATGAAATGCCTCTCCACTAACACGTACTAACAATTACTAATCAACTATAAAAAAAATAAGAGAGGGAATATGTTGTGTATTTGTATTGGTTCTGCGACGCCACCAGAGATGGCGCTGTGATCTATGTACCAGTTTGTCGTGTATATAAGTCCACCGTACAATAAACACCGGCAGTCGTCGGTAGCCCATGGCGGCAGTCATGTGTACGAGTTCCTCTCTTCCGTGATAGCGGCTCACCACGCCGCAATACCACAGGCACAATTATACTAAGGCAGACAGGACTCATGTAACTACCGTAATATTTAGACGTTAATATCAGAACATCAGCACCCTGTCCCAAAAGACGAGTGTCCGTTTCAAAAACCAAAAGCTCATTTATTTTTCAGAGAGAGGTAGACGCCCTATTGACACATTTATCTTTTCAGTGTGCTATTTATTTGCTTCAGTTACTCTCCTTTTTTTGTTTCTTAGTGTCGAAAATCACAAACATCAGTTGAAAGTCAGTGCTCTATCTTGTTTCTTCTGTTTCTACCTTGTCGTTCTCACGCTGTTTTTTTTTTTGCTAAATGGTGCTTTATGAAGTAACAATGCAATTTTAAAGCATTCATATGCATGAATCGCAGATCGCACTTGCTTTACAGCAATTCAGGAGAGGGCACAAGCCATGAAGCTGTGGTGCAAGCATGCATGGAGCACCTTGAAGACATCAGAGCGAACATGGGGGTTATCAAAAAAGATAACATTGGTTTCTTTGCTCTACGTACCGGTGCACGCCTCGGAGATCTACCAGTGCACGTTGCACAAGATGTAATGCATGCAGTAGAACTTATGCTGTACAAAGGAGAGGCGAACCTGCGTCAGAGCAGTGAAGCAACTTGAAGTGTTTATATAATGCCAATGACACCCACCTTTTTTTATCTTGTGTTCACTTTTCTAGTCCCAACTTAAAGGAGTCATGACTGGTCACTCAACAATTGACGGTTGTCAGTAAAACAACAAAACTACAGAGTAAAATGTGCTAGTACACGTGTGAAAAGGGGCCTTAGATTATTTTAGTCAAAAATAAGCAGTAGCAGTGCTCGACTCTTAAAACTCAACCTACCACAAGTGACCTCCATTTTGTCATGGCGTGCGAGACGTCACAAGCCGAAGGAGCAGTGGCAAATGGTATACGCATTGCACACTCACAGGACCCATTTTGACGTCCAAAATTATTTGCTGAAAGTACCAGCGCTACATTGCTGATGCAGTAGCCATGTTTCGACCCCTGGAAGTCATTTAGCTTTAGTGGCGAGTTCAACATTGCGAAAAAATTTGATTGCAAGCGCAGTTGACGACGGAACACTACCGTCTGCCAGAATGCACACTGCGCAGCAGCTTTTCGAGCAAGCGGTTCATGATGTCATGGATAGTGAGTGCGTCAGTATTGCCCAACTGTCAGGCCACTAGCTCGTTTATAAAAATATGCGATTATAAATAAACAGCTTGGCCAAATCGCTCGAATTATGCCAACTTGTATGTGAACATACAAGAATCAGCCCATACAACACACGTTATGGTTGAAAATTGGTTGTCATGACCCCTTTAAGGCAACTTATTTCTGTGATAATTGTAGTGATAACAGTGCGATAACTCAGATTTTAACGTGAATTATTCATTTTTGTGTTTTCATGGTTATATTTGGACATGACAGTTTTTCCTGCAATGTATCTGTTGTGTCACCGGTGATTTTTTTCTTGTTTGTTTAGCTTTTCTTTCTTGTTTGTTTAGCTTAAGAAGATGCTATGTACATAAGTTCTATAAAAAATAAAATGCATTTACAACCCACCTTCACCTTGTACGCCTCAAGTGCTGTTCACCACTTTGTCCTGCCAAGGCACCTGACCGTCTGTGACGAAGTAGTGCACCAATTTATTTCGCACTTCCTTGGCATACCTACAACGCATAAGCGCCATGTGAAATTTCTGTCGGCATAGCCTTGATGGAAGACACACACTGTAAAAGGAGCATGCCGAGCTTGAAAATCTCGCGCATAGTTGCATTTCAGTGTCGTAGTCGTGACGCTATATTGCCAAAGTGTTCCTATGTTTTGATGTATTATTGAGCGCTACTTCTGCTGTCTATCTTCTACGGCATCATCACAGCTTGTGATAGAATGCATATTTACTGATTAACTTTAGAAATTTTGATATGTCAAGTTTCATGACAGCCAACGTCAGCAACTGCTCCCATTTGGACAAAACCATTGTACACTTTTCAGAGAATGATTGCCCTGTACAGTTAAACCTAATTAAATGTAGCTCGGTCAGTTCAAAGTCCATCATAATTGATGGACCCGTTCAATAGGCAACAGCAAGGTACTCAACACGAATATCGTTTTCTTTTGTTAAAACCTCATATTACGTGGCAAAGACTGTGCCCACCAGTTTGGAACAAAATTGACCTCTATGTTTTATTATTGCTCCAAGTTAACATATATTCAGCTACAACAGAAAGTAGAAGAATCAAGGACTCATTGCTCTTAAGACACAGTCTTAAGTGGAACAAACAAATCTAATTTAAGTATATAGAATGCTGTTGGTATTAATTATGATATAAATGTGAAGACACCAAATGGACGTAAATATCGTCACTTCTAGGGACAAACTTGTGCCCACAAATCTCCCATAGAGTGACCGGGGAGTTTGGTAGAAGCTACCTTGGTAGAACATAGAACGGTATATTTGAAGGTCAGAGGTTGTTTCACCGGCACCAAGGTATCCTTTCACTACACTTCTTTCTTCATATTCTCATTGTGAATACTACTAGCATCTCCTACACATTCCCTTGCTTTGATGTGTGGTAGTACTGAACAACTTTCACCAACTGACGCTTATATGATGATGATAATATTTGATGTTTTGTGGCGCAAGGGTCATTTCACGGCCAAAGAGCGCCAGTTCATCTTATTAAAATATGGACAATGATTGTGACAAGGGGCTGTAGAAGGGCCGTAAAATTCCTCGCGGTAAGGCGGGTAAAAACATAAAAGTAATAAAATCATAACCATGCCGTGAAGGGTGTGTGTGGTGCGAATAGATGACAAAAGTTGGCGATAATAAAAACAATGGTGGACATGTATGGCATTAGCACAAGTTGATGATGATGATATATGGTGTTTTTTGGCGCAAGGGCCATTTGATGGCCAAAGAGCCCCAGTTCATGAGACAGGAAAGTGGACAATGGTTGTGATTAGCGGCTGTATAAGGGCCATAAAATTCCTCACAGTAAAGCGGGTAAAAACATACAAGTAATAAAATCATGACTATGCCGTGAAAGGTGTGCATGGTATGAATAGGTGACAAAAGTTGGTGATAATGAAAAACGATGGTGGGCATGTATGGCATTAGCACAAGTACCTCACACGTTAGTACCCTTGCGTCCAAGGGCCGTGAGGCAAATGCTTTGTTGTGTAGCCACCGCAGCGAAAACCTCTCAGCAGAGGTTGTGCTACGGAATGCCCGGGTATATGATATGAAAACTATGAATTTCTTTTAAAAACGCTAACAATGATTTATGACTAAAAAGCGGTTCCCTATCGACGAACATTGCAGGGTGTAAAGCTATATGTTGTCGGTAAGGTAATGGAAAGTGTTGTCTTCTTAGAGTGTCTAGTTGTTTACATTGGATTAAGACGTGAAGAACTGTTAATGCCTCACCACATTTATCACACAATGGTGGATTGCCACCGGACAAACGATGTGTGTGCGTCGTGTATGTGTGTCCTATCCCGAGTCTTGTTAGTGTTACCTCTGTTAGACGTGATTTTGATACTGGTGGCCAATGGCCAAGATGTGGCTTGATAACATGTAGCTTGTTTTGTGTGTGTCTGTCCCACTTGCTCTGCCAGAACTCCCTGAGCTTTCCTTTGAGAGACGGCTTAAGATCAAGGGCCGGAATTGATATGGGTGTAGTGGCGGTGCCCTCGTGGACAATACAGCAAGCTGATCCGCCATCACGTTGCCTTGAATCTCACGGTGCCCTGGGACCCAGCACACTACAACATGTTGGTTGATTGCGTGGAGTGTGCATAAAATGGAGTAAAGTGAGACGAGGACAGGGTTTTTTTGTTTTTTAAGACTGTGCAGAGCCGTTAGCACACTGAGGGAGTCTGTATAAATTACTGCTTTTTGTATTTGTAATTGTTTGATGTGTTTAGCTGCCACAAGTATCGCGTAAGCTTCCGCTGTGAAGATACTTGTGCCTGGATGTAGAGGGCCAGCATACGAAAAGGAAGGGCCCACAGCAGCGTAGGACACAGAGGAGTTCGACTTAGAGGCATCTGTAAAGAACTCAGGACGTGTATATTTGTGTTGAAGTTCCAGGAAGTATGTTCAGATATGGGCAATAGGCGCATGTTTAGTAATTTCTAGGAAAGACACTTCGCACTCTATAGTCTGCCACTGCCACGGTGGCGGGTATGCTACAGGAGCCATTAAACTGTGTTCAAGTGACACTCAAGTGTACTCAGCTAGACCTTTCATTGATTGATTGATATATGCTGTTTTTGGCGCAAGGGCCATTTGTTGGCCAAAGAGCGCCATTTCATCTTACTAAAAATATGGACAATGATTGTGATAAGCGGCTGTATAAGGGCCATAAAATTCCTCGCGATAAGGCGGGTAAGAACATACGAGTAATAAAATGATGACCATGCCGTGAAAGATG